AAGTGTAAGCAGCTTTCCGCAGGAGAGAACTTCCCACACGAGCCCCTCTGTCTTGTCACAGCCCTCACGCTGGCGCCCCCACGCCCTACACATCTCCGCCCAAGCACACCTTGCACATCTTTTGATCACAGGATACACTGCCTAACCTGCTGGTTGTCTCCGCAGATCAAAGGAGCAGGGATGGAGAAGAAGTAATTAACAGATGACCAGATCTGTCCCTAGCTTCCCCTTCAGTAATCTTGAGAACAAACTGTGCAAACAAGACAGCATCTAAGGAAAGATCACAAGAAGTCAACCAGCCTGCAGGCATGGGGGAAGCGGTTACTCTGCCCACCTGGGGATTAACTAAGATCACTTCCCCTTTTCCCTTCCAAACTCCCATAGAATCCAAGTAGACTCTTCAGAGATGGTCTTCTGGGGACACTCAGTCCAACACACCCCCAGATTGCCGGCATTCTGATTAAACGCAACTTTCCTTTCTACCACCATTCGTCTCTGACTATTGATTTTTGAGCGGTGAGTTCGGTGAAAGAAGTCGTGTTCCGGGCAACAGTACAGAAGTTGGTCTCCTGTGCTCTCCTACCTTCCACCTCTACTTCTCCCCCTCCTCCTGGCCTTCCCCACGATCGCCCAGCACACGGTAACACCACAGCACACAATTCTCTTTCTTCTTTCATCTTCCAGTGGTTCTGAGCCCTTCCCCTTGTCACAGAGGACACACGTAAGGCAGAATTTTGAAACAAATGAATAATTGACTAGAGCTTTTGCTACCTTAGTGAGGCTCATGTAAATTTTAAGAGGAACGCTCCTTCCCCTGCAACTGATTCTAATGTGGACTTCCCAGTGTGAATGAAAAGTACTGCAGCCGTACCAGTAAACAAAGGGTGCTGCGGCCACCAAGTCATCAGCCACTGCCACCGCCCCAACAGTGAGTGCCTCGACAGTGAGCGGAGGGAACTCAGGATGGACACAAGCAGGCGGCCTGGCCTCTGCAGCCCCCCCAGCAGTGTCCCCTGAGGGGACTCAGGATGTGGAAGAATGGGACACTGGTCCCATAAAGCTAGGTGCACATCAGAGGGATGATTTCCATGAACCCAGACCTTGGCACCTTCCTACATGTAGGAAAGCACAAAATTCCTTAACTTGAGAATATCTGGCTTTCTTTAATTAACAGTAGCCTTTTTGAAGTGGGAGGAAAGGGGGCAGGGCACAACCCCTGAAGGAATGACACAGCAACTGAGGACAGGACAAACTGGTTACAACAAGATGGCAGAAAACTGGATCTCCAGTAGATGTTGAGCCTCACAGCAACTGGCGCCTTGCCAGTTCCCCCACTGACCATAAAAGGTCAAAGTGGGCGGGGGGCGTTTCCTGGAAATCCTCGCCCCTTCCCCAAAGTAGCTGGAATAATCCTCCTACCCATTAGCATGTGAGATTACCCAGTCCACAAACCTGACAACCCCGCACCTCACAGCGGCTCTCGCCCTCCCTGCTGCTCTCGCTCTGTCACGCTCGCCTTCTGAGCTGGCCGCACTCCTGTCTGCAGAGCGTGCGTCTGCCTTCCCTGTAAACACCCGCCCCACCCCTCCCGGCTTCTTTCCCTCTCACCTCTCTGCGAAGGCCCACACGCTGCCTGCGGAGTGTGTGTCTCCTAAGCCATTTTCCCTTCTGGGAGAGACAGACTGCACTCTGTCCAAGGAATGTGTCTCTCTCTACATAAACTGACTTTCACTCTACCATGCCTTGCTCTTGAATTCTTTACTGCGTGAGGCAAGAACCTATTCTCCCCCAAAATTCTGATGTTCCAACTACCTAGTCTTTTTGCAAAAACTCCTATACATCCTGCCTTCTCCCTTGCCTGAGCAGAACAGTCTCTCAGAGCGATCTGAGAGGCTGCCTCCTGGGCTCGTGTCCTCGGAAAGTCCACTGAATAAAAACGTACGCTCAGCATACAGGTGGTGCATTTTACTTCAGTCGACACCAGCAGTGTCTTCTTTGGAGTGGGGAGGACTTCCCGAAGGGTACTTTCTTTAAAAAAAATTATGGATAAGTTCTACTAACCTACAGTAGAACCTCACATTCCACTACATGTCTACAGTATGCACGTACAGGATATGTGTATACTATATAATGTTGGCATAGGCATTTCTCTTTATTTTGTAAATTTTCCTCTTCTTATATAGAGTATCTACTGGAGTTGCTTTAATTTGTGGTCACAATGAAAACCTACAGAGATGCATTTACACCTGCTGATTTGAAACAGCACAATAATTAGTTCATGTTCATTTTCAGATGTAGACTACAATTTATTCTACTTGTGTTTCTTCATAAGCCTGTGTAAGAAAGAATTTAGTTTAAAGTGGTTCTTTCAAATGGCTAATAATCCCATCCAAAGTTACTAACTCCCATTTCACCTGACCCTTATTTCCACACTGTTGTAGTTCAAATCACCTTCACAGTAAAAATAAATACAGATATCCTTGAAATGAACAGTCTTCAACTTCAGTAGTTTGATAAAAATGATAACATCATGAATGCTGTAACTAAGAGGATCAACGATGACTTATAAAACCATCTTTCTGCCTGTGAGACATGACAAAGTAAGAATCAAATCATTACGGCAAAATGAGATTTTTTCAAAAGTGCATAAATGTGCTTTAGCAAATACTGTCCATTCCATCTTATTCATACAACTTAGGCACAGAAAGATCAACCAACTACTAATACACTTTCTTTTGAGTGAAAGAGAGCAAAGAATGAAGCTTTTAAATTAAATGTAATTGACCTGAATCTTGGAAGCTAACGGGTTACAAGTTAAGTTTTAGACTCACTTTCAGAAATTTAAAAGAAATAAAGGAAAGACTGCTACAATTCTTGGGAAACAGAATGTCACAGCCCAAACAATAGGGAAAAGTCACATCACTAGTAATTCTACTAATACAAAATACGCTCATATTAAAGACATCTGTGTGCTACATTCTCCCGAGCTTCCTGGGAAAACTCTGCCAAATCAGTCAACAGACCTCTTTCTCCTCCAGCCTATTTCTCTAGTAGGTATAGTTTTACTTCTGTTACTTTAATATGCAAAGCTGCGGTGCCATCAACCATCTTGCAAATTTAGCTCATAAGAAATATGTTTGGAACTAAACATATATTCAATAC